CATGACGTCTATCACGGTGGTACAGACGAAAGTTTAGCTCAGGTCAAGGACTTGTTTACAAAATCAGACAGCCTTTACTCCACGACCTTCTTATTTACTTTTCCGATGAGGACATTTCACGAATTTATTCCAACCAACTTTAACTTCGAAATAGAAAGTCAGGTTACAATAGATCACTAAAGAATTCTTTGAAGCTCAATTTCTCTTTATATCTTTACTGTTGACATGTTGTTTGTCGTTTATTCACAATTTATTTTTTATCGTTCACTGTCATTTGTTATTTTCCCCTTCCCAAGTTTGGCTGAAATTACATACTCTTTTGGGTATGCTCATTTATCTTTTATTTTGCTTTATGTTATTTTATCTTTCATCTCGTTTAAATTGACTCATTCAGCCCCGCCAGCGTCCGATAAGTGTGGCGTTTCCGTTGAAATCGAGTGCTACCTCCTTGGGCATCCACTATGGTCAAACTGGCGAAAGCAATTCAGCTTCTCTCATCGGACCTATTTCACCTGGCGACGGTGGCCAACTGAATGACTATTTTGCTCCCGCTCCCATTGCAGTTTGTCTGAGCTGTGGTGCTGTATGTAGCTCTTGTGACGGTCAAATGTCAGCATCGCCCACCTCAAATAGACTTACTAATTCCTTGTCTACCTCCTACCGGCCAGACAAGTTGGTTACAACTTCCCTTGGCAACCAGGCCAACGGGTTTAGAGGCTTGTGCGCCTCCGACCGAATTCATGCGGCCACTCTCGATACAGCAACCGGGACCGAGGGAATCGTTGTCACCGACGAGAATGGGGCGTCACTAATGAGGGAGTCTCTGACGGTCAGCTCGTTAAACAGTCTGTTGGGATCGGAAACGAGTCCAGGAGGCAAGATAGTAGACATTTTGTTTGCCATCGTCTTTAATTTTTATTGTAGTTAGTTGACCTCGTTGTCGCAATTTGCTCTTGTTGTCAAAACGACTTATTAGAATGCACCCAGTCCGAAGTCGTCTGCAATAGTAGTTGTCATGATTCCCAGCATCTGATAACTACTATGACGAGTACTATGGCAGATGACTTCGGACTAGATGTGTTCTACTTAGTCGCCCTGACAACAAGAACAAGTTGTGACAACGAGGTCAAACAACTTCTATAAATCGAAAGGAGACTGCGACCACACCAGAGGCCACACGATCTTGGTCTTCATATCTCCAATTTAAATTTTATTGTTGGAACTTTCATTTCGTATGAAAATGTATGAAGAAGAGAGTCGTAGGCTGATCGCATACACTTTGATAGGAAATGAAAGTCCCAACAATAACGTTTTTTAAGGTGATTCATCGAAACCCAGCTATTTTTCATATCTTTGAATTATATAAGTTTTTATTTATCTCAAATTGATTTCTTTGGTAATGCCGAATAAATTTCGCATAAACTTCTGACTACAGAATGCATAATAAATATATCAGATGTTTAAGGTGATTAAGAGACTGGTAGCTGAATTTTCCAACAATCATATAAATAGACCATACATTTTCATTGTATTTCACATAGCATTACTTCCCCAAAGTTATTCTTATTCAAAGTGGGCTGCAGTTTTAACATCACCCAATTCCTATTTACACCTCCAACGTAACTATGCTGGTGCAGCGTATAATTTCGAAAAATCTTTTTATGAATTAACCCCAAAATGTGATATGGGAAAATGTCTGGCCTTTCTTGAAATTCACATCTGCCCTGTGGCTCAAGGGTAACTCGTGACAACTTGGCGTAGTGGCCAACATTACAAGATTACCCGCTGCACTGACACGGTTCAGGTTCCGCAGGAGGTGCTGATGAGACCAGTTAAGTTGAGGTCGGAATTGCAGTCCTCTCTGAATGGAAATACCTTTTTTAAAGGCAAGTTTATGTAAAATTAAATGAAAACGTCTTGTTTTTTTTATATGATTGTGTGAAAATTTGACTACCAGTCTCTCTATCACTTTAAAGGAAAGAGGTTGAATAAATCACATTTCGATGAGACAGAATCTTGTATAATGGCTTATATGATTACATTTGTTGAACTGTATGACTATGTAGAATTCCCTAGATTCATCAAACCTCTTACAATACAACTTTTGCAGATTAAATTTAGCAAATGTTGGCATAAATCTAATCTATCCTCTTCTGGATGAGAATGCATTTTGTGAAACAGGGTTATATGGAATACAATGGAAAGATAAAGTCTACTTAATTCACTGTGGGAAATTTCAAATACGAATCCCATTATCATCTTGTACGAAATAGGGTAAATACATCCCATATATATGATTTACTGGAAGTCTTAAGAAACCACTTATAAACGAAAAAAATATGAACAATATATTCTAAGAAGTGGTCTGACCTCATGTTGTCAGGGCGACCAAATTGGACGTTTCTTGTCCGATATCCTTTGTTATGGTAGTTATGATAATTCTTAGCTTCGGTCTTTGGACTTGGTACATTCCCTAGCGTTTTGTCGCCATCGTAGTCCACCACGTCAATGAGTCTTGTCAGTCTCAGTGTCAAACGTACAAGTCAAGAGACGAGTTGTAACTTGATGCTAAAAATGGCAATACTTACCGACAACGCTGGCTAAGCTGCTGGCGCAACTTTTGTGAATCTAACGAGTCCACGGTCCTCGCTGTAAATTATCATGGTTACCATAGCATATGACTTCGGAAATTGTTCGTCCAGGCAACACGAACAAGTGGCAAAAGTAGGTCAGATCTCTTCTGTACATCAAAAGGAGACCGCAACCAAAATAGACTCTACAGCTTCATGAACTTCATATCTAAAATATGGTAACATCGAAATCTGGTCATCAAAGACGGCTTTGTCGAAAGTCCGTCTTTTATAATGAGCGATATTAGACCGACTCAAGTAGATGACACAAAGGATACTTCAAATAATTATCCTGTATCACCTTAAGTGAAATAGGGAAAGCACAATTCATTTTAATTAATAGTAATTGGAGTGTAAGTATTGTTTTATTATAGAATTTTAGCATCACTTCAGAGGTTAAGTACTTCCTCTCAAAATGCAGTTGATCAAAATTTTAGCAGAGAATTATAATATGAAAAATAAAAGGATGGAATCTGGTCGCTTTGTCTTTAAGATTTACGCATCGACTGCCGGATACTTAATGCAACGTGGGTAGTACAAACACAAGTTTTTCCCATCTCAATTGTCCCTACAAAGATGATCTAAATTGTATTTAAATGTGTGCTTATTTTTTCTCTTCAAACTGCGATATCATAATTAAATCTAATTAATAACCTTTAAAATGAACAATAAGCAAGACTAATCATGATAGTTTGAGGAATATATCTGGCATATTTAAGCATATTTCTGAATTGCACACTTCTTCATTCACACTTGTTGAGCTCAATTTAGTCCTGAGTAAACGAGAGTTGTGTAGAGATTTAGAAGATTAGTTTAACCGGAATACGGAGACGGATACCTTTCGGGTTTATGAAATCATACTGTTGATGTCGAGCTCGAGGCAACTTCCTTCGGTTTTGATTAAACTGCAATGGGTTTTCGTATGTTATGCCAAATGTCTGCATACTCGAAAACGATGAACATTTGTGAGGCACGGAGTCGTTTATTTAGTAAATGTCAATCACCAATCTTGAATCATTTGCATGCTTGTGTGTGTATGCGCATTCATTTGGACGTCATTGTAGGAAACCAGCGGAGCGTAACATCTATCCTGGAACATCAAAGCTAATGATAGATTTTAGTCATCCTTCCTAATAATGCCGGACTCACGTCTGGTTAAGGTGATGAGCTGTGTATGTGTGTGGAATCACCTTATTTTTCCTGCTGTATCAACATTCTCTCTAGCCTCAATTCTGTCAATTAAGCATAAATACTTCTTATTTAATTGCCTATCAGCCTTCTTGACATTAAATATATTACACAATCTCTTGATTTCGCGCATGGCCTAGGACACATTACAATCAGCAAAATGACAAGATTAAGAGAATTCTATCTCGTGTTCAGTGCTCCGGAAGAACGGAGCTTCAAGGTTCTTCATTTCATCGTTTCACATGAAATAACAGTAAACTTAAGAGGTATGGAAAAGTCAAACCAAACGTCTATTCGTTACAACATAAGGCTAGGGATAGCTGGTTTATTCTTTATGTGAAATCTTCATACAAAGGTATTAGAATATAGCATCAATTGATATAAGACTCAAAAATTATAGAATTGACTGGTAGATTAGTTAACTAATCTAACTTTTAATTGTATTATTTTAACTTGGCCCCAATCTGCCTCTGCTATCACTAGCTTAGACCTTATTAGTCCAGGAAATAATTGACAGCTAATATTCAAAGAATATAATTCTACAAAGCAAAACATGAAATGTGTTCTTTTCATGTGCAAGGTAGGGCAGAATGAAAAAGAAATCCTTTAGTGAACTCATTGATTTAGTATCAAAGTGACGTCAAGATAGAAGTATATACGATGAAAAGTTGGGTTCTAGGAATCTTCTGATTTACACTTGTTAAGCCCACTTCAATTTCGAGTGAAAAGGTTTTGTGAAGAGTGTCAAAAGTCGATCCGACAAGAACATGACTGCGAATTTCGCTTTTTCCAGATGTCGATTGGCTTTACTGGAATATTCTTGTAGACGCTGTTTCCGGGGCGATCGCCTTAGATTCCGATCAAAATAGGATAAACTTTCGTCTATCGTACGTTGTTAGCCTGAATGTGGCTGCAATAATGATATGCATTTATGACGAACGAAAGATTGGCACATTTTGTCCGCAATCGAATGAGATTGCTTTGGAAACGATGCCCACAAAAATGTCCCACTAAAGTCAAAATGAATCCGCTGTAGTCTTCTGGTGGGATCAACTTTCGAATGTCTTCACCAAACTCTTTCACTCGAAAGAAAAGTGAGGTCAACAAGGCAAAAAGGAAGCTTATTTTGAATCTTATTATGGCGATATTTCAAGGCCAGAAATTGCTTCAATGATTGAGAATATAATCATGCTTTTAACCATTCATGTCTTGGTTCACCTCATGAGTAGACCTCTGATTTTGGCTTCCTTCTTTTTAATATCTTTTATACTGTTTCACATTATTGTCTACAGCACAGAAAACCACTCGATTCAAGCAGAGGCACAAGACAGCATTTGCCGCAAAACATGTTCAAGTTGATTCTAGTCGTAACCACACTCCGCCTGCCTATCAGTTTGGTGAGTACATGTTAAAACCAATTTATTCTAAACCTGTCTTGCCGGAGACCAGCAATTTATTTGGCTTTTATCAAAATGTATAAATTTTTTTTTTCTTAAGTAAACTTCAGCTCAGCTAAGTTGATTCCAAAACGCTGTTGGCAAGAAGGTAGGCAAAATTAACCTTTGGGAAAACGAGGTTATGTTAAGTTCAATGGAAATGTCAATTCTATTCATGTGATTGTGGAAAAATTCAACTACCAGTCC